ATAGTTGATGGTGAGACTCTTTCGTCATCATACGACCACTTTTAATTTTACAGTTAGTGGAGCAACGAACAATAAAGTGTTTGCTGTTTGTCTGCTTTTTGTTTCTTTTTGCAGAATTCACTGACTATCAAATGAAAGCATTTACAAAGTCAGATGTTAAACTCCCTTGCAATATCCCAAGTTCCAGAGAAGTCAGCGCCAATGCACTGTGGTTCAAAGAAAGTGCAAACGGAAGAATAAAGTTGAATCTTGAAGATGACTCCGCAGATGATAATAAAAAAATAGAGCTGATTTTTCCACTAGACCACGATCAGAGCATCATGGTCATAAACGCTGGCATGGAGGATGCTGGTATTTATGAATGTGAACTGGATGATGGAAAAAAGCTGAGCTCTATAAACCTTACTGTGGAAGGTAGGGGGCTTGTCAAATTTAATAGAGATTTAATAGATTTAATGATTTCCACTGCGCGTTGAGTCAGTAAGGGGGGGAAAAGGATCGATTAGTTGCATAAAACATTTTTATTTATGATTTGTTTCAGTTTTAGCTCCTCCTACAGCTCTTCCTCACACATGCCAAGGCTCCACCTCACCATGGGAGCCCTGCCCGGAGGAGAACAGCCGCACAGCAGAACCCATACTGAAGGAGTCCATGACAGAGTTTTCAATGAAGCTGTATTATTATCTCAGAGAAATATATCCTTCTGGCAACATGCTCTTCTCTCCTGTCAGCATCGGTGGGGTGCTCTCCCATTTGTTGTTAGGTACGAAAAGAGAGGCGAGTCGCTATTTTAATGTAATCACGTTGCAAATGTTTAGCATTCATCATGTTCTCCAGTGAATCCTTTAAAGTTTTCCAGTTTCATGCATCACCATGTTAAATTTGAGATAAACCAACCAGATAAACCTGCAGGTAAAAAGTTAAGATACCTTTTTATGTTTCAGTTCGGCAGAATTTTAGAGGGTGAATTAATACAGTAATGAACAAAGCTAAAGAAATAACAGGTTACAGGTTGATATTAAGTTCCTCTTCCAAAAAAAATTCTGTTTCTGAACTGGTCTGGCTTTCGTTAGGTATTATTGGTTAACGTCTTATGTGGTTAGCTCTGTGATAGACCTTTCCAGGATGTGCCCAGCTTTTAGCCCTATGACAGCTGAAGAAAACGAGTAGAAGATGATCGATGATTGGAAATGAACTGAATGGATGTTTTGAAGTGTAACTCAAAAATAGAAATGATGCTGTGATCATACAGCACTGCAATCTTCTGTGAATGTCCTGGACTTACAATGTTTCTGAGCTCATCAGCGTAACTAGTGAAACTGTTTATTTGACCACTCCTAATAGTCCCGCTCTCTCCCTGTGTTGGAGAGTGTTTTATATATGAAGCCTAAGGATGGCCCGTTTTTCTTCTATTATGTCTTTTGACCAGATGTTATGAGTTAAAAAAAAAAAAGCTTCCAAATGTAAATGTTGCACCTGAAATAATCTTCAGATCTTTCACCTGCTGAATTTATTAAGAAATAACAACAACAACAAAAAAAAGCTCACAGCTGTCCACAGCACAGTGCATTTTCCCATTACATTTAAGACATTTAGAGGGCTGTGTAAAGGTCATGCCATATTTTTTTCTTAAACTAAAGGAGCCCCTGGAGTAAATGTTTCAAATAACTGTGACTTAAAAATGTTTTGGTACACAGCTAAAAAGACAAAAAATACACCAGTGTCTCAAAAATCTATGGATTCAACTGTATTTTTAAAATCAAACATGGCTTGCAGCTTCCTATAATGTACTAAACGTATTGTTATTGTCTAATTGTACCTTCAGGTGCAAGGAACGATACCCGTAAGGCCATTGAGAGCGCTATCTGCGTGCCTCACGACTTCCACTGCGTTCACTCCCAGATGAAGAAGCTGAGAGAGAAGCTGGCCGGCTCCCTGCTGATGGCCTCTCAGATCTACTATAATTCACGTATTACTATCACAGTGTGAAGTATATCACAGAGCAGAAAATCACAGATCGTAAGAGATAAAATGATTTCTATTTCGGCTCTCCTCCTTAGACATGAATCTGAGTGAGTCCTTTACCGACCAGTCGATCCAGTTTTATGATGCGGAGCCCACAAAGCTGCTGAATACCACTGAGGAAAACACACAGATGATCAACAGCTGGGTGGCAGAAAAGACCCAAAATAAAATCACAAAGTTGCTTGACTTTGTCCCACAAAGTTCACAGCTGATCCTGCTCAACGCCGTCTCCTTCAGCGGTCAGTAAACTGTGCGCACACCTTGTGCACATTTCAAAAATGTGGAGACTGATAAACTGTGTTTACGTGTGTTTTAGGTCAGTGGAAGGTCAAGTTTAACCCAAACAATAAAAAAGGATATTTCACAAAATTTAATGGTGATGGGGTAACGGTGCCTCTTCTCTATCATGACAAGTACATGGCAACTATGATGTATGATCCTCACCTAAAGGCACAGGTAAGGAACAAACCACCAACTGACACTTTTCACAGCAATATGTGTCTAAATCCTACACAGACCTTTCTGCCACAGGCAACAGAAGTGACATCCTGTCTTCATCGATTCCTACAGGAAACATGCGTGTTATGTTTCTTTAATGTTGAGCTTTTCATCTTTAATGCACATCTAAACTGCTCTACTAACTCACAAAACATACAGTTTGAACAGTAGCTTTATGTTTAAATTTCATCTGTCATTTTACGGTTATTTTAATTTTATATCACAATTACTATGCAGTTTATTCCTGTATAAGTAAATATGCTAAAATACTTCAGATCTATAGCATTCAATTTCCTGTTCCCCAAAGGGTCAGTTTCTTGTCTCTAGTCTTGTCTCTTGAGCTATGACAGGTATCAGAGTCGTAACCAGAATCCAGCATCTGATAGTCCATGATTCCGGCGACCTGCAGTCCTGTGCAAAAGTCTTGAGCCACCTCTCCTTTCCTTATATTTTACTTCCAAGGAACCAGACGGTATCATTTTTTAAAGTGGTCTGCAGCTCTCCAGGCTTTCTGAAGGTCCCTTTATAGTTTTTCTTTGGACATCGGTTGCTTTTTCTTTCACTCATTTTCAGTCCAGGCCTGTGTAACTGACCATTTTCATAAGAATGCTATTACTACAAAAATGGGAAAAGTTTTTTTGTTCCTCAAGCCATTTAACACTGACCATTGAAATGAACAAACAAGTAAAGAAACAATTTTAAATTCTATCTTCAGGCACAAACACAATTTGTATATTTTTTTTGTTGACTCTATGCAAAATAACAAAGATAACACAGTTATAAGAGCATTAAATAGTATTTTTGCACCAACAAGGTGATTCTAAAAAAGCTTTTATCTAAAGGGTTGGTGTATTTCAGCATGCTGTGCAGTGTGCCCTTAAAAAAAAAGAGGAAAATGGACAAGTGGAAGACCAAAAAACAAAAGCTATCTATGTTTCCTCAGAGAGTTCAGGCTGTGTTGAAGAATAAAAGCACATTTTGACTTTCAGGCACGTTAGAATTGTACAAACTCAGTTTTTGTCATATATATCATATTTTCATTATATTGCTAAACATTTTCCAAGGAAAATGAGCGATGGCTCAAGACTTTTGCACAACAGTAGATATCTTTAAGTTGATAAACACGTCGGTGGCCTCAGTGCACCGTGGTTTTGCTCAGATGAGTTAGAGAGTCAACAGTTACTAAATTTACTGCACCACTGGTGCATTTTCTTTTTTCACTCCTTACAAAACAATACACAGAGAATATTTCCATCTCATGGACAACCAGATGACTTAAACAAAGTTAATGCCAGCCAAACAGTTACAGGCACTGATACTATCATGCGTATTACGATGATGAGAAACATTTTTTTACATCTCAGGTTTATTTTAAATGCCAGTGGTAAAAACAGATGGTCTCATAATGATCTCTTTTGTCACTTATTAACACTTCCAGTATTTTTTTTATCTTTTTTGGCCAACAGGTGGCGAGGTTTGCCCTCACAGGAGACAGCAGTCTTTACATCCTGCTGCCTTCCACCAACACAGAGGCAAAGCTGCAGGAGATCGAGCAGAAGATGACCGACAGGACTGTGGTTCAAATGATACAAAACATGAAAACAGCATCTCCTCAGCATATTGAGGTCACTCTGCCCAAAATCAAACTGAATTTCCAGCCGGAAATGAACACGCTTATCAAGAAACTAGGTTGGTTCATCTTCTGTGCTCTCTTCTCTTTCCAACCCAACATCTGACCTTTTTTTGTATTACCAAAAATAAACACCACCCATGCCTTCATCCTGTGCAGTTTAGCTAGCAGTAAACATTAGGTTCCCATTTATGAAATATGTCTCTACGTTTGCTTTTTGATCTCAAAGCATCTCCACCACATGCTTGGCTCTCTTACCTGCTTTCACCCTCACTACTACCTTTTCTGTACTTTTCACTCCCTTTCCAGGACTGTCAGTGCTTTACGAGGGTGCCGACCTGTGTGGCCTCTACCCTCAGGAGAAACTGTTCCTGGACGACGCCAAACACAGAGCCTTCCTCGCACTGACCGAACAAGGAGTGGAGGCCGGCGCTGTCACCACCTTGTCGTTCTCCCGCTCCTTCCCTTCCTTCTCAGCCCTGCGGCCTTTCATCATGCTGCTGTGGAGTGACCACACCAATGTGCCGCTCTTTATTGGCAGGTTGACCGAGCCGTGAGAGGAGAACATAACAAGGGATGGGGAGTAAAATGTGCAGGAAACGACAGGCAATGTTTAACAAAGGCTGCTTTGCTGCTGTGTTTGAAGTAATTTGAAGAATTTTTCTGAAAATTCAGTTGTTAAGAATCAATATTGCTTTAAATAGTCTAGTTACTAAAGTGAGCAGTGTCTTGTGGATTTGGATTATCTTCCGAGATGATGATAAATAAACACATATCTACACAACACACATGGTGCTTATCTTATGTTCTTGAAGAATCACATGTTCAAAGGAGGACAGACGCCCACTGATACAGCTCTGATTTATTTTGAGAAGTACTTACACAAACCCACCACAGGATGGCAGCCATACTGTGTGATTGACATGGACAGTGAATACACAGGGACTGCAACAGTGATTTTCCCATCTCATTCCCTCCTCAGCCCTCCCACATCATCACCACTGATAATAATTCAAGGAAGACGAGTGTCAAAATCGGCGACAGTAAAGGTTTTTTGTTCGTTAAAGCGAGAGCTTGCTCGGAAAAGCGAAGCGAACTGAGCAAAAAAGATACCCTGAATCGTCGTATTCACAAACAAATACACAGATGGCGAGGAGTCTGAATGCATGGCACGTCGGCATTCAGAACGATCAGCTAAGGTTGCACTCTATTATACAAGCTGATGGGGATTGCTAAACATGCAGCTGTACTGCAGATTGAAATGATTACATAAGCAAAGCAGGGTCAATAGACAAAGAGTCAGAAAATTCAGTGACTGTAAACAAAACGAACAGATCCAGAGACGGAAACAAATAACCACCCAGCCAGAAATGTGAACTCTATTTGATCACTGCCAACCAGAAATGTATCCTTAATGCCTGGATAATACGATAATGTTGTTTTGGTTTGATTATCTCACTGCTGACGTGCTGGGAGTCTCAATGTGCATAGACAGAGTGCAGAATAAACCTACCACCCTTTTCCAAATCTTACTGACATTATTTAAGCTCTGAATGAAAATATCCTGAAGCCTAAAAGTGTTTTTTATTAGTGTCCAAGCCCTTTATTCTTATCCTAATCCAACTTTGGAGGATCTACTCTCTCTCTCTCTTTTTTTTTTGTTTTTTTTGCTGTCAGCAATCAGACATTCACAAGGTTATCGAAGGACATCAAGAATATGAGCAGCCAGATCGATTCAACAGTTAGAAAACTCCCCGAGGCCACTGACCCACCGTGCATGTGCTTCTCTGAACAAGTGTATGGCCAGAGCTGCTGTGACAGATGAACCAGGGGACGACATCTGATATCCTGGCAGGCATGTAGATAAGTTTTATATATATGAAAATGCTGAAATGTGCACAAAGATCCACGGCATGCATGCAGCTCGATGAAAATGGGATCTTATTGTTGTTGGATCTGTGCGTTTCCACTGACCCTGAAGGACCCTTTACACCGAGAGGTTAAATTATAGGAAGGCTCTTGTACCAAAAGCAAAGTTGTATCTGAACAGGAATTCCTGTGTTTAATAGACGTGTAGATGATTTAGAAGAGACCTGATATTTAACAGGTCAAAAATAACGGGACAATCAGACGAAACACTGACTCCGTCTGATGGCTGATCTCACCTTCAGCCAGATGTCTTCTACCAATATCGAATGTCTGAGGTCGTGCAGATGTGGGTTAGGGAACCTTTTCGAGCTGTTTATAAAAATCAGATAACCGAACTAATCAAATTCCTGTATCTTTAAATTCAAAATATGTGACACCGCACTGACGAAAGAAGATGTTGCATAACTGGTGTTTCTGTTGGAGCAAAAATTACAGTCACTGAGGTAAACTGTCTTGAATCCAGATGAAATTTGTTTCAGAAATGCTGCAACACAGTGCAGGATACTCTGAAAGACATCGTTTTGCCTGCTGTGGACACAGCTTTGGGCTTTCATCAGACAGGAGCAGTCAAAGGTTACGCACCACAGTATTTGCCTTTCTTAAAGTTGCTCTTTTGGCTTTCTGGCAGTGGGAGACAGAGATAGCAAAGGCCTGGAACAAGTGGCCGGGCGCACTCGCACCACTGAGGCCTGCGGTGGTAACAGAGGATTTCTCTCTTTTGTCCTTTTTTAAAAAACATTCCCTCGCACCTCTGCGCTTCTGAATTCGGATGGAGACGTTTTGAATGGGGCATGACGTGAATACAGATTAACAGACGCTGCACAGGCAGAAAAAGCAGGCACTCATAGTCTCACAGCCTTCACGCACGCGCACATTTTGACACATTATCGTCTCATGTGAAGGTGGATAAAACACCACTGTCACCAGAAGACAATGAAAATACATAAAAACAATGAAAAGGTAAAGGTAGAAATCCACCGAACGGATCTTTTTGTGCTTTATAATACGGTGTGTTGTTTTGCATTAGATAGACATCCACGAAGATAAGAGACTTCTCACGACAATCATCCTTTCGTAACATCCCTCCCCCCCCCCGCTCCTGCATCTGCGTACCACATAATGAGTCACAAAGGGTGCACATACTGTCAGGTACTTTCACTGAATGAATTTTGAGTGCATTAGTCTCAAATCTGGTCATTATGCATAAAATTTGAATGGACATGAGCAACTTCTACAATACAGTACGGTCTAAAGCACAATTTAGTGAGCTTTGTTTTGTTACGTCAACACTTTAATGAGGACATTGTCACAATTTGGTTTACCTTGGAAAAGAAAAGTATTCAGATTACACCTTATTACCATCACTAATATTAGTATGAATATCATATACTAATACTCTGCGCCGTATTTATTGGCAATATGAGACAGATTTTAATCAGTATTGTTATTGCATGTTTTATCCTTTGTTCTTATTTCTTCCTTACTCACATTCTGTTATCGGCCATCGTTCAGTGAGACATAAATGTGTGTGTGTGTGGTATAGTGCATTTGCATGTGTGTGCATTTATGCGTTTGTATCATGAATATCTTGTATAATCTAGTCCGGTTTGTCACTGCTTGGGGCTCCTTGCTGCGTGAGCGTATGCCAGTACTCGACTTTCTTCCCTTTGTTTTTGAGACACTCGAACCAGTGTCTGAGTCTCTCTCCGCTCGCATTGATGCCCAGCTCCACTCCTCCTGCAAACACAGAGAGAGAGAAGCAGAGGAAACAGAGAGGAGTCAAGAGGCGAAGGAAAACTTGTTTGCTGGTGAGGACGATAAAAGGAGACAAAAACTGGGAGGAGGTGAATATGACTAATAAGGAAACAAAATAACTAACAAACTAAAGAAAGAAAAATTTGAGTTTGCTTTTCATTTTTTTTTAAATACTCTTTATGAATCTGAAATTCCTGATCCTTTTAGCATAGCTATCAGAGGGAAAACAATCACAACACTCACTTATGTGAAATGTTTGCAGGGACCAAAGAATGGTCCAGATCTTTCTAAAGAGCCCCCAAAAATCTGGGAAATACTGGATCATCCTTACCAATGCACTGTACATTATCCTGGGACCTTACAAAACATTATCTTTACAGTTTAAGTAACACATTTCTCATGAATTGGAGTGGCAGTGTAGAGTGGAATATAATCAAGTTCAGTACCTCAAAATTGGTACATTAGTACAAGGCGTGTTTAAAGATTGATTGAATCTACCAACAAAAAGCAAAAAAACAAAGCATCTCTGCTTTAAATTTTACCCCTGTCTGCTCCTAGATCTTCTCCTTGTGAAGCACTGTGAGCATTAAGGCACATCTGCTATGCTTGGACTGCTCCCCAGAAGTTCCAAACATAACGAGAGTTAATCGTCCAGTTTTAGCGGTCATTATTGGGGAAGCCTGCAGACTCCAAGCTTGAAGAAGGGGCATTAGTTAGGAGCACAAGCAGGAGCATATGCTCACAGCTTTATCAACTCTTTCAGGGTTTTGCATTGTGAATTTGCTCCAAAGGAGTCCAACTGGACCACAATTTGTGTCCCGAGGCTTCAAAAGAAGAACCATAACTGCACACAGCTTTAGTTATGGAGCTCGCCCTCGTGCCACCATCCACCTACCAGTGCTGGGTAATCACATTACAGTTTTCTTCAAAGTAACGTGAACTGTGATGAATTCAATAATTACACCTACTGTAATACTGTTACAGATGTTAGTGATTAATGATCATCAAATGCGACTTTTTCCTCCTAAACATTTCCCTAATCAGCTGATTTCAGTTGGGCAGGGAGTGGACTGCAGCCTTTGAGAGGTGGCATATGGATGTTGCTTTTATTTTTATTTTTTATTGCATGATAAGAACAATAGCCTGATCGTAAAGTGCAGATTGCATCCAGGACAGAAGCAGCTACCCATTGCTTGTGATAAGAGAGCCAATGCTCTCTGTACAGACAGCATGCTAACACAAAGCTAGCCAAGAACACAGAGTGAAGTGTAGGGATGGGAACTGATAAGAATTCAGTGCTGCCGATTCCATTACTGATTCTCCTATTGAGTTCTCACTGGCTCTGCTTTGAGAGTGACCACCATCGCTAAGCAGCATGTCATAAATGCTACATTTATGCAAATTTCTCTGTAAAACGACCTGAAACACACTGTCTCATAATTACCATTTAACAATATAAACTGAGGCTACACACCAACACAAATGCCAATCCTAACGAGGACACACATGTGATCTTTCTCTTAGTGTTTAGGTATGAACACAAAGTTAACAGCACAAAGCAAAGATGAGAACCAGCACAGAGACTTTCAAGTGATTCTACTGTAGAAACATGAACAGGTGGAAAGGAAAGCTGCAGCCTGACCGATCATCAGTTTGTTACCTGTTGAATTTAGGGTCTGGCTGCTTGGCTGGGGTCAGCATTCACTCAGCTTTATCACCACTCTGGGTTCTTGGCTAGCTTAGCGTTAGCATGCTGTCTACAGGATGCAGTTTGGACTTTATCATTGTGCTCTTGTCCATTTGTACAATACAAATAATGCTAATCTCCATATCCACTCTACACACTATTTTCCACCTCCTGAACATTAACTGAAATCACCTGATTGTAGCTCAAGTGCAACTGAAAAGATAAGTTGATAGGCAATGACTGATCAATACTGATTGATAGGAGAGCACACTAATAATCCCCGTCCCTAGTGAAGTTAAAGCTGAGTGTATGTATGCTGCCCCCCAGCACAGCAGCCAGAGCAAAAACAGCAATGATCAGTCAGTCTTGCAGGACTTTTGTCTTATGTTCTAACAGAACACCACTGTGGCGATTGCTGTAAAGTGTTTTTGGGGTTGTTGACTTTGTACTCATATTTAAACACTAAAAGAAAGGTCTCTGGTGTCCTTATTGAGACAGGAATCTGTGTCAGTGTTTAGAAGGTAAAATGCATCTCATGCTATGCTAAATGAGTAACACAAGAGTAATGTAATTACTGAGTATTTCAACTAGTTTTTTCTCCAAGGACTGATTAATGCATTACTTTTAAAAAAGTGACAAATACCTTCTTCTGAGTAGTAACCCCAACATGGCCACTAGCATGACCACACACATAGCACAATCATCGTAGCTCTGAGATCCAGCTTCTAAATGTGATCATCCTTCCCAAAATATAATTAAAAGTGTGAGGAAGGAAGGGAATCCAGTGTGGGATAGAGATGAGCAATTGCAGATCATAGTTAGACTTCCAGGAAGCAAGTCGAGGAACACTCAGGGCGAATCATAACTACATGACCTTAAGAACAGCAGCAATATTAATAAATGTATGTTTTCTGTGAAGAAGTGCAAATCAGTTGTTGTTGGGGTTTTTTGTTTTTTAACTTTGTTGTTAAAAAGTAATCTTTAATAATATTTAATTAGGAACAGCCAACAATGCATTATATTAAAATTTATGTAAATATCTTTATTTGCTGCCAGACTGTCATGTAAGGACAGAAGGAAGCAAAAAGGCCTTCATGTCAAATTTTCCCTGACGGAGAGAAAGAGAAATTTAAGGTAGCTGGAAAATAACAATAAATTGAAATTTTGATGACTGATTTTACAAGAATTGGATGCGCTGGGAATAAACAAGTGGAGAAACAAGAAATACTTCAAGTGAGGTAATGGAGCCACTGGAGGAGGAGCGCAACGTATGATAAAGCTGCACACAGCTGTCACGCTGGGGATACAAAGTCTTTCTCTTGGCTGTGATTGCATAAGAGTGCCTCAGAAACTGACAGCCATGAGCAAACAAAGCTCGGTTTTTGATCTACGCCTTTTCTGAGCATGGGACCGAGCGTCGCCTGAGACGCTGCTGCTGGGAGGAGAAGAGGAGCGATCTACAGATCATCCCTCGCTTTCCTCTCACAGAATCATGCAACTTGTAGAACAGGTCTAAACCTGTTGACAGAGTTTCGATAGGATAATCACGCACAACACTTTGTCAGTTTCGCTGCACGCCCCCGCAGCACTCCCACCACCTCCCAACAGTGATCGATGGAGTGTTCCCCGGGCCCGCTGGCTGATAGTGACAAACGAATGGCCAGCCATCCTGACACACACTGGGGGATAGAAGAAGGATGAGGAACTGGAGCCGGGGGGAGACGTGGCGGCTGACGCACAGGCTGGTGGGCTGGTGCGTGCCAAAACTCGCACGGTTTTACCCCTGCTCTCTCCTCACTTCTCCTCCGCTGCAGATCCCTCTCATTAAACCCCACCAGCGGATGAATAACTGCTTGTGGTGAACCAAGCATTTAGCAGAGCCATAGATCTGAAAGAATCAATAGGCGTCAAAGTTCCTACTGAAACACTGAACTGCATCTGAATTTCTCTGTTCCACACAACTTTCCAATCCTTTTATGGGTGGAGGCGTGTCCAGCAGTGTTTTTGGGCCATCAGATCAACAGTTTTACAAACACCAACCTATTAATGTTCGATCACTCAAAGTCCCTCACAGGACTGACACCTGTAGGTGAACACGAGTAGGTGAAGGTAAATTAAGGTAAATAAGTGTTTAAAAGAGAAACCATTAAGACTTGCTGTATATTAAATTACATTTGACTTTTTAAGCAAGCATGTCGCATAGCTTTATATGTTAAATATTAAGCTTATTAATTTGGGTAACCTGATCTTATCCCTCATAAACATCAAGCAATAATTAAAGTCTTTTTTTTGTATGTGTATACATTCAAAGCTCTCGACTTCCACAGTTTTAAATGCAACATGTTCAAATACAACACATTTTAAATGAAAAGCACTAAGGGAAGCACAGATGGCTTTAAAATTTCTAAAGGACACTTTTTACCTGCCCTCAAAATTTGAACTGGAGCTTGATTTGATGGCAGCGCAGTAACTGGATTCATGGGTTTCTGTCTGTGCAGTTGTGGCATCATTACATTGCAATAAACATAAAGTCTCTTGCGATTTGGCATCGTGATTAAAACCAAGATTGAACTGAATCGGAGATATCAGACTTGGAACACAGTCCCACTGTTTTGAGACTGTGCTCGCGTGGCCTTTTCATCAACTCTTTATCCGCTTTTTTAGCTTTGAGACTTGACTTTGAAGGGAACCGATTGGAAACAGCTCAGAGGTTTAGATTTGGCTCATGGTGAAGATGAAATTTCCCAACTCTCTTCATGCGCATGTTGCTCCCTCAGTTTATCCATTCGATTCATTGCTTGAGTTTACTCACCTCTGTGATGTGACATCCTCTACATACAGTGGCTTGCAATAGTATTCGGCCCCCTTGAACTTTTCCACATTTTGTCACATTACAGCCACAAACATGAATCAATTTTATTGGAATTCCACGTGAAAGACCAACACAAAGTGGTGTACAGGTGAGAAGTGGAACGAAAATCATACAAGATTCCAAACATTTATACAAATAAATAACTGCAAAGTGGGGTGTGCATAATTATTCAGCCCCCTTTGGTCTGAGTGCAGTCAGTTGCCCATAGACATTGCCTGATGAGTGCTAATGACTAAATAGAGTGCACCTGTGTGTAATCAATCTAATGTCAGTACAAATACAGCTGCTCTGTGACGACCTCAGAGGTTGTCTAAGAGAATATTAGGAGCAACAACACCATGAAGTCCAAAGAACTCACGAGACAGGTCATGGATAAAGTTATTGAGAAATTTAAAGCAGGCTTAGGCTACAAAAAGATTTCCCAAGCCTTGAACATCCCACTATTAGTCGTGCACTGCACAAAGTTGGCCTTTATGGAAGAGTGGCAAGAAGAAAGTCATTGTTAAAAGAAAACCATAAGAATTCCCGTTTGCAGTTTGCCACAAGCCATGTGGGGGACACAGCAAACATGTGGAAGAAGGTGCTCTGGTCAGATGAGACCAAAATGGAACTTTTTGGCCAAAATGCAAAACGCTATGTGTGGTGGAAAACTAACACTGCACATCACTCTGAACACACTCTGTCAAATATGGTGGTGGCAGCATCATGCCCTGGGGGTGCTTCTCTTCAGCAGGGACAGGGAAGCTGGTCAGAGTTGATGGGAAGATGGATGGAGCCAAATACAGGGCAATCTTGGAAGAAAACCTGTTGGAGTCTGCAAAAGACTTGAGACTGGGGCGGAGGTTTACCTTCCAGCAGGACAACGACCCTAAACATAAAGCCAGGGCAGCAATGGAATGGTTTAAAACAGAACATATCCATGTGTTAGACTGGCCCAGTCAAAGTCCAGATCTAAATCCAATCGAGAATCTGTGGCAAGATCTGACAACTGCTGTTCACAAACGCTGTCCATCTAATCTGACTGAGCTGGAGCTGTTTTGCAAAGAAGAATGGGCAAAGATTTCAGTCTGTAGATGTGCAAAGCTGGTAGAGACAGACCCTAAAAGACTGGCAGCTGTAATTGCAGCAAAAGGTGGTTCTACAAAGTATTGACTCAGGGGGCTGAATAATTACACACACACCCCACTTTGCAGTTATTTGTTTGTAAAAAATGTTTGGAATCATGTATGATTTTCGTTCCACTTCTCACGTGTACACCACTTTGTGTTGGTCTTTCACGTGGAATTCCAATAAAACTGATTCATGTTTGTGGCTTTAATGTGACAAAATGTGGAAAAGTTGCAATACTTTTGCAAGCCACTGTATTCTGCTACGACAGTAAGCCTGTTTTCTAATGGTAACGCTTACAGAAGACCACTGCACTGGAACTATGCTTGCTCGACCTCTTTATCAACTGTTTTTCTCCATCTCTCCTTTTTTTTGTTTCTGTGTCATTTTTCTCTCAGACCCAATTAACATCATGGGCAGGCTGCTGTAGCTAAACCTGTAATGATAATGGTCGGGGAAATGGTTGTTATCTGGGGCTGTGTGTGGGTCTGATGGCCTTTTCCCCCAGCAGGGCTTATAAGTCATTGGGTTTATCTAAACAGGGGGTGTCTCCCTTCAGCCTACTGTCTCTCCCACACACAAACACACACGTGCGCACACTCGCGCACACTCACATTAGACAAAGTAAAATGCTTTGATCTGAAGGCCTCCGAGCTCATAGGGTGGTAATCCATTCTCACTGTGCCTCCCTACCAGTTCTCCATCACTCCTTAAGCTCCCATGTTCTCCGTTGCTGTGATATACACACCGGGCCATGCCAAAGCTTTTTAGCAGTCTGATGAAGCTGCAACCATCTAATGTGCCAAGTCTATGAAGGATGTGGACCCAGAGAAAATCGTCTTCCTTTTTGAGTTTTCCCCTCCATTTCCTGTTCCACTCAAACTCTTCTTTGCTCGCTCAATCGTTCTCCTCAAGCCTCATAATTACTTCTCATCTCTCTAGTTTTCTTCCCCCTCTCTCTACCCACACTCAGCCTGTTTTTTTCCTCCTTCTTTTTTTATCTTTCTGCTCCGCTTTCATTTCAACAGTCTGCTACGGTCACATTCTTTGCTTCGCTGCTTTCCTCTCCACTCCTCCCCTCCACACTACAGCGTTTCTGAGCCTACCTATGAAGTCGTTGCTCATTCCCAAGTCATAGTCCCACACAGTGATCTCCAGGGTCTTCTTCGCCAGCTGGTCCAAGGATACTTCATATGAAAACTCCTGTGCAGGTGGGGTACATGAGAGCATATTTACATCAATGATTCATAAACAGGTGATTGAAAGGAACTGAATTCCTAACTCAGCACGTGTTCTGTGATACGCTGGGTGCACCTGCAGGATATGACACAGTCCCTTTAAGGTATGCTTAAATTGCCATGCTTTACATTGGGAGCTCAGTAGAGAAATCAAAGAAGTTGTTAGCTGCGGTGTGGTTAATTGCAGAGAAAGTGTGGAGCTGTACCTCATTGAATTCGGGATTGAGAGTCTTTTTCTTCACGGAAGTCTTGTATTTGGACTTTTTCCCCATATCTGGCTGTAAGACGCTGAGAAAGAGAGAGAAACCAGATAAAGACATGAATTCAGCGTGATCTTGGGGAATCAGGGAACATGCTGTACAACCCCTGGAAAACAGGCTGTCAGAAACTATTACTCAAATAGCCACGGTCAATGTCTTAGTTAATCTTTGCCTATATTTCATGAAATTCTGCTACTTGTAGGTTAGTGTTAGTGTTACTGACAAACAAATGGAAATGATCACACACATGCATATTTAGCATTGCTGTGCAGTAATTAGTGTTAGGCACAAATAGAGACAGTTTACCATCTGTCTCTAGTGGAGTGGAGACGGATGGTAAACAGATATTCTTACACCACCAGTTTTGCACAGATTAACATACAGTGATTGTATTTTGTTTGAGAAAGTGAGTGATCTCAAATGTAAAATAGGTTTGTGCAACAGAGATCTTTGAACTCCTGTCAAACAGAGCCAGAACTTCATTATCAAACCAGCTAATCCACAACTTTTAAAAATCTTTGTCCGTAAAGTTGACAGTAAAGTCTGCTGAATAGCAGAAACAAAAAGGGAGAATGAAATTTTGCAAAATGTCTTTATGAGATAACTTCAACCCAGAAGTGTTTTGAACAATGGCAGGGACAGAGAGCAGCTGAAAGAGAACGAGAAAGAGACAGAGGAGGATTGTAGACCACAGCAAGATCATAATCGTGCTGATGTTGGAGGAGTATACGCTCCAGAGAAGAGGCAACAGAAGGGTCGCTGGAGGGCAACGGGATTCATCATCAGCATAAATTCAAAGTCAAGATGTTCAGGCAGTGAGATATCACACTCTTCCAGCCTTTCACTGTCAATGACGAATCCTGGCCTGACAGCTGATGCATGCAGAGCTGGAATCAGAGCGAGTGAAGGATGGAGGGGATGCAGGTGGAGCAGGAGGAGGGGGAACTGACAGAGAGCAAGGTGGCACAAAGTTTGAATCTACTGTTGGATTCTAGTGCCTTTTAATGTAAACTTTAATGCTTATCTGTCAGCTTAGTATCTGAGTGCACTCCCTTCATCAATGCAGACCTTTTCTTTGTCAACTAGAAAGAGAAAAAAACAACAGATGCTTAAGATTTTATGATGGAGAGTTCAAATGTTGTGTCCACTAGGTGGCAGCACATCAACCACCATGACAAGGTGAATGCGTTTGTAAACTGCAGCTTGTTCACGTTCAGCAGACAAAAAGACAACATTTACATCCCACACATCCCAAACCATTCATGGCTCTCCAGTAACTTCATTCCACAAACTCATGGTATCAAAGAAAGACATAACTGTGGGGGGTAAAAAAACAATTTAATGTAAAATACACAACAGAATAAAAATACTATTAAGGCTTTGGATCAGATTCGTACTAATGAGTTCCAGGAATCTAAATCTGAGGTCTGTGCGTCCTCTTTGTGCTGCTTATCCAACATCTTTTTAATTTCCTCTGCTGATCCTGTTCTAGATGTAGGAAACAGGCCCATGTTCAATGGTAATAGTCACAATTTATCAAGCAAGCCTGGAATCTCTTTATTGTGGGTAAAGTAAGTTAATGTACTTCATCTTTCATAAGTTGAGATAATCTACACGGAAGCTAATAAAAAGCCAGAAACTGTGGTGTCATTTGTTTTCACTTAGTTAGGCTGCTGTAACGCGAGTGCAGGAAATAACATTATAATCTGTGCGGCCTACCCAGCAGACTGTTTGGGGTAAACATGAATGATGAATCAACATACATCCATGATGTACAGATGTTTTTATGTTCCATCATAATGCCAAATCAGAAGTCAAGACTCATCAAATAAGGCAACATTTTCCAGTCTGTTGTCCAGTTTCGGTGAGCCCAACAAAGTGACAAATGAGTGTATACAACTCAAAGTCGGTCCAGTTTCGTACATCAGATTAGCCTGACAACCAAATGCATCAGAGTCTGTCTTCTTAGAGAGAAGTTAAATATCTCTGAGCAATTCAAAATAAGTATCCCCTGGGTAACAAACTAACTGTGTGCCTATTAAAGTCCCAATTACTGTGTTGTTCCAGTAAAAGCCATCAACTTAAATGTTTCAAACAATGTATAAAGACGAGACACAGGCTCAGCTAAATGTTTAAAGCATTAAAAAGCTCATTATCGCCACAAGATGCATCCTACCTGGTGTTTACATAATAGTTTGGTTTACTTCACAAGAAATAAAAAAGAAATCTTAAAGAAACTAATGAATCAATTAAGACAGTCGGCCAAGCAAAGCATCTTTTTAACCCCCAGCACGTGAGGCGGTGAAGTGAAAGCTCGAGGACATCCGAGCCTTAGCTCTGCCGACTCACATTCTGCATACGCCTCCAAGGGCAACTCACGCGGGAGAACTCAGATTTTCAGAATAACAAAACATTCTTTGACACCAACGTTCGTAATTAAGATCGGGTAAATGGAAATAAAGGCCACAAAGGAGCAACCGAACTGTGCCCAAATTGCCACAGAAAATTCAATGTGAAAAATAATTCACGACGCAGGATGCTGGTCCACAGAGATACGGGAGGATAATCCCCTCAGTTTTTCACTAACAGTTTCTTTAAAAAGAACAGTGGGGAACAGCAAACTAAGTAACCACATGTTTATGTGCCGTATACGTACACCGTTTTAGCTCTGCGTCACCGGCTGACAGTGACTGATAAGGTTAGCGAGCTACCGCAGCTGCTGCTGACAACCTTTAAACGCTGTTCACGAGACAAACTGTGTTTGTAATGTGAGGCAACATGAACAAGCAGGACTCATCTTTAAAAAGCCCCATAAGGCGTGGACAAAGAAATGAGAACGCCTCCCCGTACACATACTATTAAGAAATCTAATGCAGCTACACTACTACTCAAAATGTTATGGTTTGTCTACTGGGAGTGACCAGGATGGACAGGATTAGTACATCGAGCGGCAAGGCTGAGATAGTTTGGACATGTGCAGAAGAGGGATTGTGGATGTACTGGATGAAGGGTATAAAAAGGGGAAGACCACAGAGAAGATTCACAGAGTGAAGGGTTGGTGTGACAGGAGCATGAAACAGAGATAAAGGAAGATGTTCCACTGTGGTGACCTCTAAAATAAGGAGTCAAAAGAAGATAAAGATATATATTAATAATATTTTTCATATCCTTTTCTTTCTTTTTTAAGAGTTAGGAGATGTCCTCCAATGCACATTTGTGCAATATCTCTAAAGTTAGAAACATCCTGTTTCTACAGTAGACAGGCCTGACAGCTGAATGCTCTGCCTCCCAGAGTTTATGTGTGACAAAAGCCAATAGTGGAGGCTATTATAGTACAGGCAGTTCCATAAGAATCAATCAGTGCAATTTTTTTAGTTTTGGATTTAACAGGGAGCCGATGAACAGAAGCTAATATGGGGAAAAAAACTATGGTCTCTCTTTCTAACTCTCACTGCAGCTGGAGAAAACTTCAAAAAGTAAATCTGGGTAAATGTGCACGGGTTATACAACCATCCAGCATTGGTGGCTGGTCCAAACAACTTACAGTGCATTTGATACCAGGTTCATCTTTTGGTCACAATTCCGTCTGTGTCAAAATAATGTCCCAGTTTAGTCAAACAGTCATTGAAAAATAATCATTTGATTCTAATGGGGTCCATTAGGGTCAGCTGATTGATTTTCTAATGGAAGTGCACTGTTCATTTCATCATTATGCCAGTCCCCTATAGGCTCTTCTGACACATGAACTCTGGAAAATGCTGGGAATGGACATCACACTGATTTTATACTTGAGAGCTAGCAGAGTAAAAATGATTTAGTCCCGTCACTCTCACTGATAGGAGCAACATATCCAAACTGGCCCGGACAGTAAGACAGTCCATCACAGGGGTAACAAAGCAAGAGCACACTCTCACATCCACACCTACGGCACACCTACCTCATTAATCAGCCTAACAAGCATGCAGTGCTAACCGCTGCATCGCCATGCTGTTGTTGTTATTTTAATAGATGCATTAAAAATTAAATGAAATGTGTAGTCAGGACAGCAGAATCAACTTCTTTATTTTTGCCCAAAATGTTTCTTTCCACCACGGGACCCACATGACGACTTGACAACTCTCCAAAAAATTCGGTACCACCGTGGTGGCAAGTTGAGGCAGAGGCTGACAGAAGAATGAGAGCAGCCCTGTGAGTGAGAGGGGGGAAATTGCTGAAAATGACAGGGGTAGATGGAAGAGAGGGAGCCAACGTTAAAAACAGGGAACAAAAATAAGTTATGACACACAGATGTGCCAAAAAAAAAAAAGGAGTCACAATTAGAAGAGAGGAGCTAAATATATGCCTGCTGCAGCGGAGCCTCATGATCTTTTTACTTCGTTGTGCAAGAACAGAGAGATAACCAAACTGTAAAGCACGGCGGTGTGCTTGGTCAGCATGAAGGATTTGACATGTTTGCACTTTTTCTGCCCTTACATGGCTTTTTTTTTTCCGACAGACTTTTCTTTTTCATGTTTTAGATTGTGCATAAAGATCAGGGTAAAAGACTCAGGGCTCTTTTGAAAGATGTCGAATAATTTAGTCTTTAAAATGCTAATTTGTCCTTTAAATGGAAGACAAATTAGTTCTAAGATAATTCTGACCTTGTGTCACTTGATTGGCTTCTAAAAGCTTAACGAGAGAGAGAGAGACTGACTGGACTCCTTATGCAGTCATCTCTTCTCTTTTGGCCTGGTTCCCTGTGGCTTTCATATATAAATATATGCACACAGAAATGAAGAATGGTTGCTTTTTTGAACCTTTATGCCATATTATTTATAATGTTATTATTTAATAGTAAAAATGTGTAGCCTATACAGGGAAATAAAACAGTGGTTAACATGGACGTTCACACATAAATGTCTCATCAGTATGAATTCCAAATCCAAAAAAGGAAAGTCATTGAGGAAAACTGAGAATGTTTAGACACATTTCTTTTCTGGCTAAAGTTTCTGTCACACAGGCCTCGAGACTATTCAGAGACCACCTGGCAGCTGCTGGTCACCGGAGGAAAAACGCATATTTCACAACCGATCGGCACGTAGTTTCTGTGAAATCAGTTACTAAAGCATCAGTGACTCCCTGGCAACCTGAGGTTGCTTCAGAAAAATGGGTATTCCATGATCAGTTGGCAAATTGCTGCTTGAAGATGTTGGCAGTTACGGGGTGAAACTGCTCACAAATAGATCTATTGTGCTGTACCAAAAAACTCCTTGAAATTGCTTTTGGTTGCTAGCAGGTTGTCCCAGTTGCCCAATGTCACCTGCTAGTCTCTGAGCGATAGAAAAAGATGAAGTTCAGCTTCAAGTTAAAAGGCGAACCTTTTAAAAAGTGTTGATGATGCAACTTTTACCTTGAAGGTGAACATTGCCCATTTCTGGTTCACGTCACTCCTTTTCTAATTTTACTACCACAGGTAACAAGTATTTACAGACACGTCAGCATCTTCTGTGCCAACTGGCAAATGACTGGCAATCACCCAAAATAATAAAGAGGCTTTTTGTGCAGCTCCCTGCTGGAAACAGAGAGACCTGTGGTTGCCAGATGGTTGCTGAGCAGTTTTCAGGCCTGCATGACCATACCAGTATGCTTCAGCTGTGGCTGGACTTTACCCTGCCTCTCACCCTGTGGTGACTGGGATAGGCGCGACCACCGCGACCCTGAATCAGATAAGCGGAATAGGATGGATGGATAATCGACTGCTGCATATTTTATTTAATATCAAACATACTGTGTGTCTGTATAGACCTGAACATGCTGATTGATATGTTCAAAGAATTTTGGGTTTTCTTCCAGTTTCATTAAACGCAACAAGAAGAATTAAAATTAAAATCAAAATCACGAGTGCCAAATAATCATCCACCTAATGTTAATAAACAGTTTGTATCTGATCAGCTCTCATTCTCTCTCTCACACACACACACACACACACACACACACACACACACACACACACACACACACACACACACACAGGCATCAAGATATGCTTGAGCTGCAGAGGATGTCTGGTTTTACAGCTGCAGGACATCAGTGAACTATGTAAATTAATTCCTGTCGATTTAATTGCTCAGTACACTTAAGGGATGTAATTTACCTGTGCCAGCAACATATTTAACCCCCTAACTCCTTATTTGTTCAAAGTTAACTTCACTAAAACTTCACGGCGTTCATTATGCTGGTTCTACGGTGTGCACTGACAAAAAAAACAGCGCCTTGAGCTGCACACCTTCAACAGCTCATCCGCTGAACTGAGGTAAACACGGCTCTGTGTGATGGATACAAAGTCCCTGATACGCGAACACAGAAGGGAACAAAAAGAAATGCTGGCAGACGGGCAGCTGAAAAGACCCAAGTGCCAGAAATACGAATCGGATCAGGGCAGAGGCTTAAACGAATAATAAACGACAAGAGTCAGCATAAAAGAAGCAGCTGGTACAATAATGTAGAACAAGAGGAGGAAGACACAACTGAGAGAAATAACATGTACCAGTGTGCACAAAGCCAAGCAGGGATATAAGATAGAATCAGTTGTGCATTCTGGGTGCACATGTAATTTTACCTTTGTTCTCTAAAACATTGTATTAGAAGAGACACCGATACTGTACAACGTGCCGGCTTTAAAGTAAAGAAACAACTCCTCAGAGAAACTGCTAGTATGAGCATTTCCGACTTTCTTGTTTCAGTTGTCAACAGTTAATAAAATGACTCAGAAAATGTCCACTTGCACGAACCTTTGACACCATTAGCTTAAAAAGCAGTTTTCAGTGCAGTGACTGTAGGTGTTCCTCTTATTCAAATCAAACTACTACGCACTGAAAAAGTACTCCTTCACCTCACTGTAGAATACGTCATCCAGACTTTCCTGTAAGCCTGTACTTACAGTTCAGCAAATGCATGTCATTTTTACCTCAGATGTACTCAGAGGAGGGTGTTATTGGCAAGGAAGCTGGGTGTCAGGAAGCCTGCGTGTCAGACAAGCTGACTGGTTCTCCAAAAGTTTAGTTCAGAAGAGAAAACATGAATGCGTTTTCAAGCTTCAGCCACTAGATTGGTTGAAACGGGAGAGAAACAGTATGTTTAACCTTATGCCTTTTCAACTGGGGATGTGTTTTCTTTACATCCCTGTGTCATTTATTCATAAATTATAAATAATGAGAAAACTACCCATCACCTTTAGGCAATAAACAAACATCATCAGGTTCAAAAATGGAAGGCTCAAAGAACGAAATTACCTATTGTTAAACCATAAATGACGTTATTGCATCGTTAGAGTCATCTAAAGAAAACAGAAAGGTGCTTTACAACCTTTTCAGTATTATTTTTTAGCAACCTTGTGCTGCTTCTACCTTGAAGCCTCCCACTGTTGGAGGTGGCGTTGGTTACAAGATTTGCTGTCCTGTGTGGGAGCTTTCACTCTCTGCACTGTTGGTGCTTAAGTGCAGCAGGCACGCTGGAGATTTAGCTGTGTGGGTTTTATCTGTCACCGTGCCTTACAGGCAAGCCGGTACAGTATCAACTATAGTTCTGTTTCAGACTTTGAAGAGACCTGCGTTGGCTGAGAAAAGAATTGATCTCACTGAGAGTACAATGTGATCAGAATGCATCCACCTCCACTCTGCAGGACCTTCCATGTGTCTCAGCGACTGTCGCAGAAACACCTCAGCTCATAAAGAGTGCTGATCTGCTTACTGCGGTGTATAATGTCAGTCAGGCTCTTGTTGACTTCACATTCCTGTCTCTAATGTAATAAAAGCCTGGAAACAAAAGAAATGAAACAGCTTTTTACAGTTAAAAATAATCTGTGGATTCTACAAGCACCCCAAAAAGTTTCATATAAGAAAGTTTTCGCAGAACTCTTTGCAGTTCTGTGCAACAGACAAAAACTAAGTGAATTAGTGAATCAATGTGAATTAAAAGTCTAAGGAGCAGGTTGGTGGTACTAATAAACTGCACTTGATTATATGATAATCAGAAAATGTGAGCACCTCTATAAAAGCAGGTGTGTGTACACACAAAGCCACAATCCTCCCAGGAGTGGAGATCCAAAACATTCACTCTAAGGTCAGTCTTCGCAATGCTCAGAGAAACTAGAAAAACACCTGAAAGCTATATCTCAGACTCTACAGTCCTCAGCTAGCATGTTAAATGTTAATGACAGGACAATTAGAAAAAACCTGGACATGTTTGGCTTGTCTGGAAGGGAAAGCCTCTTCTTTCTTAAAAGAACATGGCAGCAAGGTTTAGGATTGTAAAGTTGCCCCTGAACAAATCACAAGACTTCTGGTGCAATATCACTAGCACAGATGAGATCAAAGCGGAAATGTCTGGTAAGAATAATAAACCACATTTGGTGAAACGCAAACACAGCATATCAGCACAAACAACTCACGCCAATGATGATGATTTTGGGATTGTTTTACAACCACAGGTGCTGAGGTACCTTGCACTCCTTGGGTAAACCAAGAACTCCTCCACATACCAAAGTATTCTGATCATGAAACAGTATAATGATCCCAAACACAGCAGCAACTCTACATCAGAATTTCTGAAAAATAGAGAATAAGAGGCTTTGCAATGGCCCAGAAAAAGTCCCCTGACTGAAAAAACTTGACTGAAATGCTGTGCCAGAGCTTAAGTGAGCTGTGCATAAACAAATGGCAGCAAAGAAGAGCGGGCCTAAATTCCTCCGCAGCGTTCTTAGAGACTCACAAAGTCAAACAGAAATCCGTTCCTTCAGGTTCATGCTGCTAAACGTAGGTTCAACCAGCTACTGAATCATGGGGTGTACTTAGTTTTTCACAGGACCGCCACAGAGTCCTGTGAAAAACTCTGAACCTTGTAAATACACTTTGATGTTTGTTTGAGAATCTTAATGAGCAAAATCATATTAAAGATGCATTCTGATTGCTGCAGCATGTAATTTATTCAAAGAAGCCCGCTTTATTGATCTACCCAGGCAGCCTGGCCTGGATAGATCAATAAAGCATAAGTCTGATGTATAGTAGTTTCTGTAGCTCAGAAAATGTTGAACTGAGGTTTTGGCAAAAGAAAGTAGTTACTGAGATCATAAATCAAGAGAAGTGCAGGGTAATTTTCTAATGGACTTGTATTCAATCACTATCTTCAAGGATGTAAATTTGAGGCACTTCTCTTTCAATCCTGGAGGCCACATCTTTCTTTTACATACAGCCTCTGGGTGTTCCTTGTTTTACGACTGCAAGGCGTCTATTCTAATCTCTGAAGAGCGTCAACAATTAAAGATCCCTAAACTAAAACCACCATGGAATCAGATAAACACCAGGTGGCTTTCTCTTGTTTATGGTTAAAAGGTGTTGTGATTACAGCTAAATAAGATAAATGTCAGCACTGATAAGACAGCACACTAGCAGTCCAATCTATGCCTTTCATTTTGCAGTACCATAAAAACACCCAAACACTTCCTGAATTAAATATGAATCCTTAAATTAAAAGCTGTTCCTGAGCATAATTTGCAGGATCCCAGGTTGTTCACGGGTATCTAACACGACTTACGTTTTGACAAAGGGGTCAGAGTAGCCGTTGGAGTCCATGGCGGCCAGATGGGCGCAGCGTATGATCCCAACCAGCAAGCAGCCCTTCTCCGTGTTATAGCACAGTGACACCAGGATGCGGCCACGCTGGGGACACAAGAAGCTACAGTGTCAGACAGAGCACCTGTTTCCACTCTGATATTTCCCTCTTCAGCGAATAACCACAGCGGGAAATCCTGCGGCCGGGTCAGCAAAGTTTCTCAAAACACTTGAAATACTTTCACCGTGTAGGATATAGCGTGTTAGCCGAGAGGTTTGGAATTAAAGCTCATAATTAAAGGTCTTATCTGGGCTGGAAAAAATGACACTGCTGCCTTCTCCTTTTAATCTCCAGGTTGAACCGTAAGCCGAGTCTAATCAGAGACCAAAAGCTATTAGCCTTCGTCTCTGGAATCGCAGAGAGACGTGAGATAATCACCACCAGGGGAGGAAAAAAATCAGTGTAGTGGCAGCGGTACTGGTCTAAATTACAAACTGTAGCTTCTCTATCAAAGGTCATGCCTTAAACATATATACTGATTAAAAACACATAATTAAACTTCCTCTAAGATTATGGAAGTAGATGACAGATTAGGATTAGGACTGTTGGAAGGATAAATTGCATGAGACATGGGAGATTAATAAGGCAGTGGGTCATGTTTTAGTTAAAAAAAACAACGATAATGATAAAGAGGTTGATATCATTACCTCCTCTTCTGCAACTAGCGCTCCCTGCTCCTGTGTTTGATTGTTAGTTTCTTTATTCTGAAATAATAAAGACAGGAAGAGAGATCACAGTGCATAGTACATTGCATTTTTCTGTAATGCTCTAATGTAACTCAGTAATCACATTGCAGTTCGTAAGCACATCATTGAGACGTTATATTGCATGTAAGGAAAAAAAGTGCATCTGTCAGCATTGATGGTGCTTTACCAGATGTGCAAGTGCCATGTCCATAGACACAGTATTGCAGATGGAGGCTTTTGAACTGATAACAACCTGCATGGTCCCTCTTCTCTTTAGTCTGTAAGGCGTGACGCTCATGTTTTCCAGAAATAAATTCACATTTGGTTTCCTCTGACAGAACAGTTTTCCACTTTGGCTCAGTCCATTTTGACGGGCTTAGCAGTGTTTCTGGGTCTTGCTCACATATGTCTTCTTTTTTGCATTATGGAACTTTAACCTACACTTTTGGACAACACATTAAATTTCCAGAAGTGTTGCTGAGTCCATGCAGTGTTTTCCATGACAAAATCTGTTTTTAATGCAGTGTCACGATGATCACAGTCATCCCGTGCTGAAGCCTTCACCCTTGCTCACAGAGATTTCTCCAGATTCTTAGTCTTCTAATGAAGCTTATGCGTAAGTTCGAGACGGCTGATCGACTGTCTCACATCTGTCTGCTCCCAGGTGTTGCCGGCTAAATCTAAGCTTCTCGTCACTTCCACTTTCCCACGCTGTCAAGCTGTTTGTGACATCAAAGCTCTAGTCCAATCATCTTTCTCCGCTTTAAATCTCACTGCGCATCTGTCATTTCCTTTGCGGACCCCTTCGTGCAACCCACATCACCTAAACCTTCTTTCTATGTGAAGACCATGCACATACATAATAAATATCACATATTTGTCCACACAAACACGCACACAGAGTAATGTACACATACCTGTGCAATTCTCTCCAGGCCCATGTTGTAGCGTTTGCTCTCGCCTTCTTTCAGTTTCTTCAGAGCCACTCTCACCTCTCCGATGAATTCATTTCGTCCTAGTCTGTCCATGTCACAGACGCACAGCCTTCAATAGACAAGAGGTGCAGGCGAATTAGTGGCAAGTTTTCAATCCCTCTTGCAACTGTGCTGCTCTGCCCCAAAGTCTTGAAGCAAGCAAATAATGCACCAAAATATCCAAATGGCATCTGAACAGTGCATCCGCAACACGAGATCAGTCCACTGTGTGTTTTGGGTTTTTTTCTCATTGTCTTGCGCCCATCAGACATACCACTCCCATGTAAGAGGCATAAGATGTTTTAAAAAAAGCATTTTCCACAGGAGCTAAAAGAAAAATAATGATGCGTGCTGGCACATTAAATCTACAGGGATCTCCTGGAATAAAATCTTTAATCTCTCACACACACATTGTTTCACTGCAGAAATCATGGATTTGTTTGTACGTATAATATGAATCAATGTATAGCTGCCTCTATAGTTTATTTCTCTTTAGATGCACTCGGAATTTAAAGCGAGACAACTAAATCAATAACTTTGTCTCTACTGCTACAAAACTGGTTCTGTAAAATGATTTCTTCCACCGAGAGCACTTATTCAAACTGATGGTTATGTTTGATAGAAAGCGAGTTTTTCATCAGCTACAGTTGAGTCTTCACAGCCCATCGCCCGCCACAATACTCTCTCTGCTCCGATATTCCCAGAGGGACTGTAGCTGCTTCACCTCTTTCTTCACTGTCTCATTCTAAACCTCTCTCGCTCTCTCTCTCTCACACACGCACATTCTTCACACACACCTTCCCCCTCTTCCTGTTCTGTCCCTGTCCTGCTGACATTTGGACTTTTGACATGCTGGTTCCAGTCTTTTAGTCATAACGGATGAGTATCTCTAGCAGAAGCTTCAGAACAGCTCTGACTCACGACCACGGCTGTCAGATGATTTATGTCCCTTTGCTCTGTCATACATGTAGGGTGTCTGTACTGAGACAAAGGTTGGCGGGCAATGTGACACCATTTCTGCTCAAACTTCTTCTGTGATGATTTTTCTTTCATTTCCCCAGTTTAGGAGTTCCTATAAAACCAAGCAGATGCTGGTAGAATCTGTTCAACCTCTTGTGCCAAGTTTGGTTTGATATTCTTGATAAAATCCACCACATGAGAGTAAAATTAGGGTTTCCCATTCATAGTGTTAAAAACAACTACGAAGACTGGCACTAAAATGGCTTTATACTGTGCTGTGAAAAAGTCTAGAAGCACCATTCATTTTTTTATACTTTGGTAAGAAAAGGGGAAATAGGTGCAGTGATTTATTGAAACATGTGCAAACATTCATGGAAATATGGTATATAAGGCAAAAAAGATTTACAATACTTGAAAATCTATTTTTGGTATAACAACCTTTATTCAACAGGGCCTGACCTCCCTCAGACAAGCTTTTGTGTAATTTGGTTAAGTAGTGTTTCCTATGATAGTGTCGTCTGTCCGGACGATCCCACAATGCATCAATAATGTTGAGGTCCCGGCTCTGGGGAGGCCAATCCATGACTGATAGTGTTCTACTGTGATTCTTTCTGTCCAGGTATTACACAGCGGCAGTATGCGGGATCACTTTCATGCTGAAAAATGAAGCTGTTGGTGATGAGATGGTATTTAATAGTGGTTCAAACTGCATTTTTCTGCATTCATAATGCCATCAGTTTAGACAAGATCCCCAACACCACTGGCTGAAATGTAGCTCCGCTGTGTCCACAGATGGCTGTACACACTCACCCTTCTCCTGATATTGAAGATAATCTGAACTAAAATTTTTAAATTGGGATTCATCACTCCATCGAACCTGTTACCACTCATTTTCAGTCCTGTTCTTGTGTGATTTGGCATACCTCAGCCTTTTCTTTCTGTTTCCCTTCATTAAGAATGGCTTCTTAAAAGCCAGCCCTTCACTGAGATAGTTTCTAATGAGGCTTCAGCAAACTGAAAGGCCAGATGTATCTTTCAGATCCTGTCTTAGGTCTTTGCTGCAGTTTTTCCAATTTCTTAAGGGTGTGCCTTTCAGATCGTGTTCATCTGCTGTGGTTTTTATGACTGCCACTTCTTCTTTTGTCTTTCATTTTCTACAGATTTTCTGACGACACACTGCACACAGTGCGGAGATATGCCAGGTTTTCAGCTAATGTCTTTTTGGAAATCACAGTTTTGCTACATAAATACTATTTTCTGCCCGTCGAACTGTGTAATCGTTCACATTTCTTGTAATTCTACAAATTACTGATGTGTTTTTATGACATCTAGTTAGTGTGTTTAAAGATACAAGATCGAGTTAGGTGACTTTTAATGCTTGAATGATTCATAGGTCAGTATTAAGTGGCATAAAAAACACAATTTCCTTATCAGGGTTGTCAGGTCTCTGTGTGATAAAAACCAGCCGATTAAAATGAACCCAAAAACAGTCCAGATCGTATTTGAGGCAGGCAAACTCTAAAATGACAAGTTTGATCTCATAATGAAGTCACAAAAGCAAGAGTTATTACAGCTCTCTTCTATTACAGACATTAATCTTTACCAGTATTTAGTTTTAAACAACAATTGAAGCACAGCATTCACGAGGCGTTGTCTGTGTAAACTTTCATGGCTGTTGATAGTTCAGTTTAAAGCCAATTTATAAAGCTGAGTCAACTCCAACAACAATATCATCACCACCCAACATCTAACACCCAGCCAACATATATATTTTTTTTACTCCTTGATCATATTTGTACCTGACTGAATCTCATCTAAGCCACCTGTTATGGCAATTTCAGCCTCCATCTAATACCAAATCAAGCCACAGATTTATTCCTATCTGCCCACATCCGAGGACGGTGGAAGTCTATTATGAGGCAGAGGCATGGAGAGAGAGAGAGGAAAGAAAGTGAAAGGAGACTCGAGCTGGCACTGAACTCATGTTTGTACTCCTTTAACACGCACGCACGCGCACAAACACACCACATCTCGTGATACCCGGCTCTCATCACACCTCCACATGATCAATTTCTCTGCTGATCATTCAGAGCCTGACAGACGTTTCAGTTGTAAATGTCAGAAGGACTTTTGAAAGATTGTCCCCAAGGTATGCATTCATGTTTGACTCATCGCATTTATTTATTTTTTGTGTGCATTAAAATGCACACAAGAGTGGTGTCATTGAAATAAGGGGCTGGATCGTGGTATCACATTATCATTCTCACTGCTCTCTAAATTATTAAAAATACCGCCTAAAGGCAGATTCACACTGCGGCAACTGATGGAGAAATTTTGGGCCTAATCCCACAATCACGTGGCCCCGCAGTGATAAAACAGGCTGAGTCTGTCTCATCCTGAGAATTCAAAAGGAAGCAGATATATCTATAGCGAACTATCAGCGCTGAAGCTGTGCAAAAATGATCTCAAATGTCTTACCCTTCCTGACAATTTTTGCGAGTCATAACCTGTATAAATAAGTGGCAAGGTTGGAGGTTTTTCCAGTCTGTTTTACTGCAGTGGACTTTTCACTCAAGACGAAAGCACCTCCAGCAGCCCGCCGCACCAATTAAAGGATTAGCTGGTATGAGGCCAACCGTAAAGTCTGGATTGAGGACGTTAGTTATTAGTTTACTCAGAGATACAGTCTGCACACTGAAGCATTGAGGCGTTGCATAAAGGATGTAAAGAAAAAAACAATAACGCTGAAACAACTTTGAGGGCTTTTTCAGAACTGTCTTTAATTTAGCCGTTCCCTTTTTGTATTTTGCCTTAGCATAATGGTTTTATATAATCACACTTAGCGCAAATTATTGAATGAAAGATGAAAAAAAGAAATAAATGCATAAACCCACTCACTGAAGAACTCTTTTTTTATGTCCTGTTCTACAAAGAGCAGCGCAGGAGGATGGACTCTCACTCCCACTTTAGCACCATCAGAAGACGCGGTGCTTAAAATTTCCATGAAATCAAAGCCCATATTTGGTACGTGTACAGGGTTTTTCTGCAGTGGCCATGTAATGCATTCACATCTACTAACTATGGCTTTATGCAGTAGCTTTTAGTGGTTAAGCTATCCATTCCTGCACTAGATTCTGACTAAGAGGGATTCACAGCAAATTTCCTTTTGCAACAGAGTCAGATAAAAAAATGACAAAGCAGCAAAAAGCAATCATGGAAACCCTGATGAATTTGTCACAGAGGTTATCCCATTGGTGTTTTATAGCTAATCATTTCCAACCCCATAAATGCACGACTATTATACACGTATATATCATACGTCTCTAGAGGCCTGGCATTAATATGTGTGAGAATTCATGAATATTTCATGCTGATTATGTCGTAATTTGTTCACAATCCGCTTTAACTTCTGCCAGAGCAACGTCCTCATGGTTACTGCAATGTGGTTGTTTTTGCACAAAGTGCACACCACCTCACTGTTTTTGAGGCAGTGTGATGATGGGCAAATGTGCCATCCTCAGTTATTTTCAACTGTTTCTGGGCAAGAAAAGACTGAGAGGAGTAATTAAATGTAAAAAGAAAAAACCCAGCAAACAAACAAACAAAAACAGGTTTTGCATCTGTTTCACTGACACATTCACCTAACAAGCAAAAATCCCAGGCTATATCCTGGGAGGAGACACAAATCCCTTTGGGGTTACATCAGGAAGGGCATCCGGCATAAAAATCTCAACATGCAGAGCTGCCTGCTGTGGAGCCCTGCGTGAATATGACAGCAGCCAAAAGTACTTATTTATCTATTTATTTGTTTTTATGAGCACCTGGTGGTAAATAACATGCTGCCACTACCAAAAAAGTGGCAGTAATGCACACCTACAAGCTTTTGGCCAATCACTAACAACAAAAAAGTAAAAGTAAAATATGTGTGAAGTGGCGAGACACTACAGCCATCAAACAGAAAAAGACTTGTTGGTTCAGAGTGAACATCAAGTTTGATTTTCTTCAATCACTGCTGAAGACTAGAGCATTAACTTTGGGAAATCCTGATACCCCCTTTTTCCTTTTCTCCAGCTGTGCCCACAGCATCTGTGAGCCAGCATCCTCCAAGAGCGTGAGCCTTTCTGGGATTTTGGCTTCCTAAGTAGATATTTGGCATGGAAAACTACAGAATCAAGTAACTAAATGTCACTGCTTCATCTGTCCCGAGTGCCAGAATGCTGATGCAACCCAGTTTGACAGCTACACAATCCAGAGCTCCTTCTGTCTGATACAAACTCCTAATGTTTTTTGCTCCAGATCTGCTTATTCATGAATGAGTCGAAAGCTCCTCATCAGGTAAATCACCTGAAGCACTGTCATTAACACAATACTTCCAATTTCAGAGCAAACGCAGCTATCAGCTAAACCTCCTTCAGAGCCACTGTGCTCCTGTGACATCACTGTGCCTCGGCTCACTCAACGTAACAGTGAAACACTTTTTTGTGAGGATAAATGAGGAGGAAAAAGACAGCTCCTTCTCTTACTTCAGCACTATAAAAAAACAGAAACAAATTACTCTGTCACTGCAAGCTGGAAACAAAAAACAGCTGAATTTATATAAAGAAATAAGTAAGAGCTTCCCATTAGATCAGAGGTCTACATACTGCGACACTGTGTGCCCAAAAACTGAGGTGACCAGATTTTTTCTTCACTCACAGCACGGGTATATTTCAGTATGACAATGCCAGTTTTCATCCTTTTTCACACATTTGGCCCCCACAGAGCCCAGACCTTAACCCCTGTGAGAATCTTAGGGATATGCTTTAGGAGAAGACCTTACGCAGCAGCTCTGAATGGAAATAAATGTTGTGACACTGCATAAGCTTATGGAAATGATGCCAGAGTGGATGCTCGCTGTCATCAAATATGAAGGCGGTCCAATGAAATATTAGGGTGTGTGACTTTTGTTGGCCAGCCAGTGTAAATCAGGTCTCTCTATAGCTGCTAGACATGAGAGCACAATGGCAAACAGCTGCTTAAGGAGTGGACCAACGACTGTTACATAACAATCATGGGCTACACCATGTTAACACACTTAAATATAAGGGACTATAGCCTTATGACAATCTACTGAATCAATATGAAGACTAGTTTGTGCAGAACAAACATGCCAAACAACACAACTTTGTATCACGTATCAGTTTGTAACACAGCTATGCGACTTTACTCGAGTGGTTCGCTCTCACCACCCTCACGGCGCCTCCTTTTGGCCGCAGCTGTTTTCAAAGAGTCACTCGCTGTACATTACCCGCTCGACACCAAATCCGCAGACAAACTCAGTTACTGCAGGTTTAGGACTGCGTGGACGTAATCCTTGCGCTTACATAAAAACACATCACTTAAACACAGGACCTATTGGATGTGACAGGACGGCCCAGTTTGACAGTGCACTTTGCACTCTCCAGGCCTTCGGGCGAGTCTACGAGAATGCCGAGTCTGGGCAGAGTCCCTCCCTCTCAGCAGTGCACAGAGCACAGGGATCAAATACTACAGCATCCCCAGCAGAGCAGATGCAGCAGGGCACAACCCCAGCGAGTAAACATCTCTCTGGGGATCCCTATCTGCTTTCCCATTCTCTGACTTCTTGCCCCTTTCTAGGGAGTAATGAGAACAAAGTCTGTTTATTGTCTGAGGTATTGTGCTAGTGCCTGAACTCATCCAGAGAGACACTGATCCAATTTTAAGCCTCCCCTTCTCCTCCGTTCTCCTTACTTTCAGACAGTGTCTCATTTACTGTCTCATATATATTACTGTCCTCGTTCTTTCGTTTCTTTGGCCACCCCTTTTGAGAAAACTCCTCCCCAGCTCTCTACTCGTTTTTTTGTCTTCATTCATCATTTCATCCATCTTACACTCTACTCCAGCTACTCTCTCACACTGCCAGTTGACCTCTTGGATTCTCTGCGTCCCTCTTTTCTCTCGTCTTTGTCAGTCTTGGCCTCCCTAGTTTCCTCTTCCACGCACCCTCATCTGTCACTCGACATCATTCGCGCTTTCCCCCCTGCTCTTTTTGTTGATCTTGGCAGCCACTTCTCTCTCTCTCTCTCTCTCTCTCTCTCTCTCTCTCATCATCATCATCATCTCTTGCTTGGCACTGGTCACACTCCACCTCCTCCTCTTTCTCATTTTGGCAACCCAGAGCCCCCCTGCTGGTCTGTGGCTGTGAGCTATGTCCTTGAACAAAGGTCAGGTGGGTTTCCTCTAGTTTGAGGGGCCTCTCCTCAAGCTGTTGTTTGCATGTCAAGCGTGGGGTTTTTGTGGCTTTTTTGGGTCGGGAGAGTAAATGTTTTTGTCTCAAACGTACACGCTCAAGGACATTTGTTGTTTGAGTGTTTGTGTGTGTATGTGTGTTTTCTGACTACATGCAGAGGAAGGGCCATGCATGATCTTTCCTGCCAGTGATTGCCCTTGACATGGACACAAGAGGATAAGCAACACACCTGACTGCCAGCCTCTGTGTGTGCTGAGTAGATGGGACTCATGTGCATGTGAGTAAATGCACTTCCCTGTGTGTGCATGCACGAATGCGTGCATAGCTTCTCCGCTGCATTTCCACAGGATAAACAATGCTATCCAAACCTATTATGAATCCTCTGACTAAACTGACACTGATTACATGTTCACAAACAAAACACACAAAAAACTCTGCCTCTGAATCAGCGCACAGACGGGCACGCGTGCGTCAGAGTTTTTGGGCCAAGATGGCTACGTTTGACCTCAATCACTCCGCATGCAGGACGATGTGGGAGGAAGGAGGGCGGAGCCTCCTGGCAAAGCCAACACCTGGGCAGTTACTGCAGCAGTAGCAAGTGGAACATTTGGCTGGTGTCACTGGGCTGGAATAATGAATTACAGTACCTGGAAAAGCCCACTGGGAAGCAGACTGGCTGTTGGCAAGTCACTGGAGGGTTTCAAGTTTGGGTTTTCATCATTCGCATAATAAATTTTGGCTCTCAGGGAGGGCGGGGGTGTAACAGCAGGACTGAAATCCAAAGCTGAGTGCCTACCTGAGCGTTTTGGTGGTCATGTCTGCTGCAGTGATGCCGTGATACACCAGCGTTTCGTTCCACACAGGATTCAGTGTGTTTTTCAGGGTTTTTGTGCGTAGTTTGTTTGCCTGCAGAGGAAAAGCGAGACAGATGAAAAGAGAGTCACAGAAAGGCGAAGACCTAAAGAACAAGCAGAAGAGTCAGGAATGTTCAAAGGGCAGGAGAGCAAATTCAATAGCTCAGATTCACATAATACAAGAAAAAAATAAGAGAGACAATAGATCAAGAAAAAAGAAAGTGAAAGAGTGGGGACGCATCATTTTTCACTGTCCCTTTGGACATCACAGACATCTGCTGCCTGGGCTATTAAAAAAAGAAAAAGAGGTGAAAGCACGCACGGCTACCTTCGCCTCACCTGTCCGTCTGCTTCCTTCTCAACATGATTAGAGAGTGCATTAGCACCAGCCAGACCGCCAAAACAAACACCGCGTCTCAAACGCAACACGACACAGCAGCCAATTAAACCGTGCAACACAATCATCATGAAAAATTAAACCTTTCCAGAAGAGGAAATGCTCCCGAGCTCCTAATGGCTTCAGCAACCATAAATAAAGTTTGCATCTACGTGCTGCCTCGCTTGTCTTCAGGGAGTTCTAAGCTTGTTTGATTTTTATCTCAGGTTTAATCAGGATGCTTATATACTTGTATATATATATGCATATATGCTGTATTTGGATTGCATCCCATAAAACGTCTTCAATTTCTACAAACAAGTAGGACCATGATGAGACACTGGCAGAACGAACTGACGGGTTAGTAAAGTGCAGATGTGTGTTTTTGTGTATTTTCTCCCTCTGTTGAAAAAATACATTAATAAACAACAGTTACTTTGCATATTTTAATTTGACTGCAAGTCTTTTGCTTAATGGAGTATTTTTGTGCTGTTGCTCTTCTTTCACCACTGCAGGCTATGCAAAATTATACTGTATGTATGTTACAAATACACATTTCCCTCTTAATACCCTCCTGCTCGTGTCTGAGGCGTGTGTGAAGTCAGATGCCTTAACTCTCGTCCTCTCTGCCACTGTCAGCTTCTTGCTATAATGCCTCAGGGCCAGAGGCTGAATGCTCCATGCCATCTTCTTTCTCTTTGTCTGTTTTTGTCCCCTCGTCCTATTGTTCTGCCTGAGCAGAAATTCCCTCTTCTCCCCTCTTGCCTCATCTCTGTCTCCTCCTCTATTCTCCGTGTCCTGCTGGAAACATCTGGCTTATCGACCGCACTCGGCTCTTCAGAAGTTGGTCGATCGAGGAAAACAAGTGTCTTCGATTCGTGTCATTTGTTTGATTCATCAATGTGCGAGACGAGCCACGCTTAAGCAGCATCACGACTTGCAGCGGTGTTTCACCGCCTGCCGTGTGCGTGCCAGCACAACTCAGCAGAACAGTTATTTTTGTAATACTCATCACTTGTTTGCGCCCGGATCAGGTTTGGTTTCTGCTCCATCTTCAAACAAAAAACTAAAAAAAACACCACTTCCGTCTCTGTCACTCCCATCCTCCGTTTTCCCTCTGTACTCCTGCCTTTTTTTGTTTTGCTTTGTTTTTAAATGTTTTATCAGTAGCACTCCATCTGTCCACCACACCACCCCCATCTGTCTGCATAGATCATTTTACATACTTCATACTCCCTCTTCCTCAGTCCCTACTTCCCAAAGCTCTGAATGAATATTCTTTTCATGTCGGTTAGTAATGGAGAGATGAAGATAACGGTGACCATCACAGACGTGCACTAAGAACTACAACTCTATGTGTGTGTGTAAGAGAGGGAAAGTGGGAGCATCTCTGTGTGGTTATGACTAAATCCTTAGCATGTGTCAGCACATGTACAAGGTCACGGTGAGCATGTGTTCTTGTTGTGCACTCGACAGCGAGGGAAGGCGCGCTTAGCTGTCTGCTGGTTAAAGAGTGTGTGTCGGTGGGTGTGAGACAGTAGGAAAGGAAGCAAGGAAACGTGCCGGGGCAGAGGAGAGATACCCCCCACCCCCATGTGGTGGGTATTTAGCAAACAGTCATTCATGGATACTACTCATTGACGCCGTCTCTGCGTCCCTCCACCACCGCCTATACCCCCCATCAACAATTGCCTGTTGACGTGAGCCGTGTAACAATCCTCCCTGTTTCCATGACAACCACCTGCTGCTGTCCTCCCCTCATCTGTCTTTCCCTCTCTCCCCCCTGCCCTCCCTGCCTCCACTCCCCCCTTTCTTCCTCTCCTCTCAGTTGTCTCCCTCTCTGCACACTGTTGGTATTTCAAGGTCAAAGAGGGTCACAGGCAGATAGTGAGATAGAGACAGAGATAGGGCTGGCGAAGTGGGGAGGTGAGAATTACAACAATGGGACAGAAGACAGACAGAGGAAGGCTGGAGGACAAAAATCCCCCAGACGTCGTTATGGCACCTTAAGACTTCAGACGTTTGCCTTGTTCGGGCTGTGCCGCCTTCATCGTCTCCACCCGCAGCACTTTCATAACCTCATTTGGAGTCAACTTTGAGCCAAAATGGCCGACAACAGGTTGTATTATGGGGTTGCTGCTGTTGTGGCAAGCTTTATCTTCCCTGCTGCTTGAGCTGAAAACAAGACAAGAGAAGTCCAGTGGACCAGAACGTGTTTGCGCTCGATAAAGAGGAGCACCGGACGAGCCACATTAAGCAGTAACCAACTGAAACGCTCCCTGCTCGTTGGATTGAAGCGACACACACACAACAAATTAGCTTGCTCCCATGTTGCATTTTTGTTTTTCAGGCTTTTGACCTCTTCATGATGTTTCATAAGGAAGAATCCACAAGGGGGGATTTCACATAGAACTGCATCTGGGTTTTTTTTTTTGGTTTCCTCAGTAAGTGATCTACTTCTACTACCAGTTACTGCGTGACATACAAGCTCAACGACAGTTAGTAACTGGGACATCCCAGCGTGGCGGCATGTTACGATAATTGCTGTTGAGGTAAGGGTGAAGCAGTGACCTTGCTAGCCCCAGGGAGAAGATGCAGCTTGACGTATGGATCAGCCAGCCCATTGGAGTCCATGGCTTTCAGTCCCTGTGGACACAAACAGACACACAAACACACAAGTACTATAGTGTCAAAGGTGATGTCATGGTGCCCTCCAACTATTCACACGTAACTGTCAGGGTCAGAAAAAGACAGCACGTACGACGGACCTGTTTGACAGCAGTCACATCTCAGTAGTTCTTCTGGCGGTTTTCTCCCTCTAGGCTAGTGTTTTCTACCTCCTTTGTAATGTCCTCAAGGGAACTGTTCAGTGAGATTTGTATAATTGACATCATGGGAGTGCGTGCAGCATGCAACGGACGGCTCGTGTCCTTGCACGATGACCAAAATGTGTCTGCGAGAGCAACCTAGCAACATTATCCAGCATTACGTCGCGCTGTGAGATGATTTAGTCTTGAACTGACAAGCTGCCGAGGCTACGTGGCAAATTTGTTTCCCTACAAAGGTTGAGAGACAGGAGTCTGACGTCTTCTGCAAACGTAAAAGCATTACAGGAGAATTATTTTCACTGGGCCTTCAAGGAGGATTACGCAACGGCACACATGCAGACACACAGCCTAGTTATAAAGAAGATTTTACAATTGCGCGTACCTTTGCCTTGTGAATAGTACAATGCAGACAGTTGTTTTCTTGATCAAAGAGCAGGTTGAACTCCAGCGTTCCCAGGTAGGCTATAAAAAAGAAGAAAAACAACCACGCACAAAACACACCAATTACTGTCAGTAAAAAGCAGAGACACGTTCAGTCTAACACACACTCAAAAGCTCTGAGTCATATTTGTAGCAGATGGGCTCTTCAAAATACGATGCTGCCTAATATGAATTGATCTGTCTTGTTTGATTACTGTTTGGGAAAGAACAGAAACCAGAGCCCTGCTATTGCAGCGCGGTGTAATAAATCATTAGAGCCGCTGTGTCACATAAAGTGGGAGTGACAAACACACAAACACAAAATGCTTCACTCCACAATTACTCTGCAAGCATATGCTGTGCTTCTGAAAGGGGAAGGGGGAAAAAAGCAGAAGCTCAAATCAAGTAAAACAAGATAATGTTCCACTCTAAACTGCATAAAACAGCGTTGTTTTTTTATGCTGCGGTGCTTAGTCATTTTCGCATGAATGAAAACCCCCGACTTTGAACTTCGAACACAACTTTCCCCACCGCAAAACTCACTGTCATCATCATCAGAGTCGATCAGCTCCTCCCTGTCACCCTCATTCTCCCCTCTTCTCTCGCCATCCTTGTACCCTCCGCCCGTCTCCCCATTGAAAGTCTCCTCTTTCAGGATCTTCTTCTCCCTGGGAGGTGGCGGCGTGCAGGGGTAGTCGTGGAAACGCGGGAAGAAGTCTGAGATCTGTGGGATGGGGAGGATGGGCCCTGGGCACACGTTAATGGCAAAGTGCTCCTGCATAGAGATTTTGACCGGCGAGGGCGGGGGCGGGGCGATAGAGTGGGGCGTCGCCGAGGGGGAGGAGGCGGACGAGGAAGGGGTGGAGGCGGAGGAAGGGGGGATGGCCAGGTGGGAGGTCGAGGGTGGCGGTGGGGGCTTGGAGACACTCATGTGGACTGTCAGACGGGACTGTGGAATAAAAATGGAGAAGTGAAGCGGAGAAGGACAAAAAAAAAAGGTGAGAAAGACAAAGATAATTACACGAAAACACCGTCAGCCTCCTCTGACTCTGTCACACTCCACTTTGCAGGGGGTCAGCGGTTTTCAAAGAGCACACTGGTCTCGTATTCACATGGAAGGATGGGTGAACCCATCACTAGTGGGCACCTTCAAGCAAAGGTCTGAGTCCCCTGAGATGCATTCAGGCTGCACTGAGATGCAAGAATTCTCAGATCTCTGAGATCATTCAGACCACATTCGGAGCTGGTCTGGGCTGTTTCTGTTAGCACTATGTAAGGAGAAAGTTTACCTTTCTGCCAGAAATGCTTTGTCTCTCAAAGCTTTTTAAAAAAAATTTTTTAATATATCTTTCATTATTTTCACTTCTTCAGTTATATACAGGCACCAAAATAGGTAGATATAGCAAAAAATAAAGCCTGCGGTTTAAACCCACCTTCATTTAAATGTTTACTGTGTCTTCCAATCTCTGCGTGGCAGAAAGCCACTGAAGACAAACTTTTCCCATGAGAAATGTGCCCTGCACCAGAGTGAAGGACCACTTACTCAACCCACACCCTCCACATAAGTGGATCCAGCTAGTATTTATTTGTCTTCTTCTTTTATTTTCTGGCAGACTATGCACAGGGAGCGCGTTGCTGCCTCCCACGGGTTAAAATCAACACTATATTTCCATGTGTTTATTTGCATATGGAGCAGGGAGGTGAAAATCCAGTCACAGGTGGTCATGACACGCATCTGCAACATCCTGTGAAAAACTGAAATGTGTTCCTGTTTTAATCCACTGATGAAATCCTGACCTGTCAAAAGCCAAAATAGAATTTGCCAGAACCTTTGGCACTTCAAGCATGACTCACACATTGTGTCAGCACCGAGTCTGTGCTCTGAATGAATATTCAAATGCAATGCTGTAGAGTATGAACAAGAGATGTCACTTGTGTATCGGTTCTCAAATCCATCCCTTACCGCCCTCTTTTCCCTCTTCTCTCTCTCATCTGCAACTCCCCGGAGCAATATTTACATAATACTACTTGGAGCCTTTCTCAGTCCTTAGCATATTTGTACCTAAATGAAGCATAATGACTGTTTCTAGACTCCATCATCATTAAGCCAAATGCTCTAATTTCCTATTTTCCTGGCAGTAATTAAGAAATACTGAAGATGTGCTATCTCATGTACTCCCACGGTGCTCTTGAGTCTTTAATATTTCAAGATCCTGTTTGATTTTATTGGTCACAGTAAAAAAAGAAAAACAAAAAAACCCAACAACAACAAAAAAAGAAAAACCAACTTCAGACTGTTTACTGTCGCTGTCCCAGATTAAAATGCTAAATATAAAAATAACTCCATTAAAGAAAAAACTGGCTTAGTGTGTGCAAAAATATACAGATGCACTTCATGAACGAGCATGACGAAGTCACTGTCGACAGCCACATCACAACAGCAGGTCATGTGAGGATGCACGCCAGTCGTCATCCTTCCTATATGTTTCACATGTCCATGATGTCACAGCTTTTTAGATTCAGCTGGTGGCATCTGCTCCTTAATATCTGAGCAGTTTGTGTTTCACACACATCTTTCCAAATAAAAGGGTTTCGCTCTTTAGTGTTTGACTGATTCAACTTGATTCGTTTGTTGAAGGCACAAACGTTTCCTTAACTTGAAAAGTTGCGTGTGAAAGTGCTGAAGCAGTTTTCATTGCGGATGACTTTCCTATTAATTAAAAGTGCACAGAAAAAAACCTAACGCATGTTTCAAGAGCATCTTTCTCTTATCTGTCAGATAAGAGAAAGATGCAATGATAAATCGGTCGAATGGTGTTGCAAACAAGTCAGCATTCGCTGACGGCAGCGGACGATATATATTTGTTGTGTCACATCAGTTTTGCACTGGCTAAATGTTCAAATGTAGTGTGATGAAGACCTGAAAGATTTGTTTCTCTTGGCACAGAGGGGGCGATTCATTAGGGAAAAAACAAATAGACTGAAAATATTCTCTTACCAGCTTTTTGGCCAAATTGTTAACACAGTTGCACTAAAAAAATAGTTTTTCACCCTCAGCAAATGTGAGGCAATGAGTCTGAGTAAAATGCAACTGAAATAAATAAAATCAAAGGTTTATTCATGCAAATAATTAATTAATAAGGAAAATGTAATTGGTATAATAATCAAGCAACATTCACTTGACCAGATTCCATTAAATGTAAAATTTTGTAAGAAAATTAGATGAAAAAATTGCATGTAATTAAATTAGTTAAAGTCAGCATTTCAGGCTTTTTTGGGGTTTTTTGACTGTGGGCTGACCAAGGGTCTACAACTCAAAGATAGTTCACGAAAAACAGAAAATCATGGAAAAATTCGGAATCGTTGCCATTTTTGCATAACAAATGACTTAATCAGTCTTGAAAATTGTTATTGATTATTGTCCTGTCAATTTGCACACAGAATAACTGATTGATTGTTTCACCTCCTTTGAAATGAGCTCGAGCTTTAATGAGACTTTGCGGGAATGTCGTTCGATGTCATCTTTTTTCACAGTGAGCTTAATTTCTCCATCTACATGAGTCAGAAGTCGAGCAAAAATCAGCAACGGGGGGAAAAACAAAAACAGACTAACAATGCCTTGTTTTCATCAGCATTGGTGTAGCTCCTCTCCAGTCTACGGTGAAGCTCCACGCACAAACATTCACGTGCATGTGAGGCTGAATTTTAACGCACCTCTGTGTCAACACCTTAACTCGCTTTTGAACTTGCATCTGTAAGAGCATCCCGCATTCCTGACCATACTTCATTACACACATTTATTCACACCCTCAACACACATAAAGACCCCAAACCGCCTGTCCCCGTCCTCAACAACTACACTCATTCAGTCACTCACGCCGCTCTTACGTAACAGCACCTAAATTCGCTGCTTGGGAACCCGCGTTCAAATGTTCACTTGCAGCATGTTGCTTGCAAACTCATTCGCTCGCGTCCTTCTACATACTGAGACGCGCACATGCGAGCACATGTGCTCACACACACACAGACTTCCAGACACTCGTACACACATTCACAATTATAGCCACCCTCAAAAAAACATACCCAGGGACAGTCTTCATCTGTGCCAGCACTCCATCTTGCCTGCTCTCACATCCTCTGTCTCTCACACTCTGTGGAGCATGCAGACCAGCTTTGAGTCAATATATCCTTCTGTACTCTCTCTCTCTCTCTCTCTGCTTTCTCCTTGTCTCTGTTCATCGTTTGCTCTCCTCTCCCCTCCCTCTCTCCCTTCCCCTTTACTTGTGACGTATGTGCTTAAAATCCACATCAGTCGTTTCCAGACTGTGCATATAGTACTGTCACTCACTTTCTCGGCAGTGGGGAGAAATCCGGGTAAAAAGGCAGGCTTGGGAGGGAGAAGTGTTTGTGGGGTTTTGACAGAAAGGGATAGAGAGGGAGAGAGAGTGACAGACAGACAAGAAGAGCAATACATCGGGACAGATGGGGAGACAAACAGACATACAGACAAACACAAGGCAGTAGGAGCAAAGACAAACACACAGAGACGCATATATATATATATACATACAGTACATGTGGAGGGAAATGGGTGTGAAAACACTGACTGCACACAATAGGAAACATTACTTTAGGGTGGGAAAAAGGGGGACGGGGGCACTAGCTGAAGGACACAGAAAGGAAATTAAATTCAACGTGTTGACTGAGCTCAACAAAACACACCGCCAACCATTAAATTACACTACCAGATTACTTTGTGTGGGCTATGACTACAGCCAATATCAGACAAGCATATGTGTGTGCGTGTGTGTTTGTCTGCATGTGTCCAATTCAAGAAGAGCTGATAGTAACGGCTGCCACCTGCCACAGTAATAAAATGAATCAAAGGCAGCAACGCATCAGTAGCAGTGGATTTATGTGGGATGTCACTGATGGAAATCAGCGATGGACACAAGGATGAGCAAGAATAGGACTGACTGAGTGCGTTAAACCCTGCAAGTTTATGAGGTTTTTAAAATTAGAGGGCTTATTAGCATTAGAAAACTCCAAATCAGACATGTATGTCGATTTTTGTGTTTTATTTGTTGTGATAATACTTTTTTAACCCCCAAATCCTATTTTCTAAGAGGTTCAACATGCATTTAGACCTGGCAGTCATCCAAATGTATGAAATAGTTTATACTTTTTAGTCATTCAAAGACCTTAAGGCATAAAATGTGAACTGTTTGGTGCAATAAAAATGTTTTATGGTCCTGTTTGGTTACATTATTAAATTATCTTCAAAGCGACTGGTTAGTAAACTTTCTGAAGTGGATTTTAATCAAGTCAAAAGAAAAGAGAATATCTGAAGGAAAAATTAAAGGAAAGATAACATTTTGTAAATGTTAGCATGAGGAGCATTAAGGTCGATGGGACATGCAGCCAATATCAATAAAACACGAGGCTTTGATAGGAGGGGTGAAGAAGGGGCCATCTCCAGTATTCTAAGGAAAAGGGGAGAACAAAGATGGAAAAATGGATATAAAAGAGAAAATATCCAGTCTCAATGAGAAAAATGAGAGTAAACCAATAAACCTGGGTGGCAGCTCTTTGGAATCCCAGCAAAAAGGTTCATGGTTCAAATCCCAGCTGGGGGAGAGTTGGCATGTCCTCTGGTGCTCTGGCTTCCTCCCAGAGTCCAAAGACAAAGTGATTTTAAATTGGCCATGGAAGTGAGCTAGCGATAGTGTATAGCACAAACAACTGCACAAAGACATGAACGCTACATGATGTGTCATGTAGAGTGGGAGCCCATTGGAAGGTTGTTGGTTTGATCCCTGGCTGCAGTCAGCATGCCAAGATATTAAGTTGCTGCAGATGTGTCTGTCGGAGTGTGAATGTTAGATACAAAACACTTGTATAGGCAAGTTGTATAAAGTGCTTTGAGTAGAAAAGTGCTATATAAGAACCAGTCCATTTACCACGGTTAAAATTCGCCTTCAGTCTAAAGAGCTTTGAGAAAAGCATTTTAAAAACGTGAGTATATTTGTTTTGTCTGATATAACTGAGTTTCTTCAGAGACACAAACAGGCTTTTTGCCTTTAAATGACCCGATTTGTTTGAGACACTTATTCCAGCTATGATCTGTATATAAAAAACAGACATAACGTCAGGTCTGAAAAGTCAAGCCAGTGTCTAAGTGTCTTAGCTCTAAATCTTTGTAATGGCCATCAGAGGGCATCTGGTTGTGAGATGAAGCCCAACTGACCCCACTGCTCACTGAATTTATGATCTTATAAAAAATTCCTGATGACATTACAGCCTCAGTAGTTATGCAACAAGTTAAATATGTAATTAAAGTCCTATTCAGATAAAAATACAGAACAAAGCAGGATGTGATTTAGCTTAATTTAGTCTGATTGACGAGTCTCCACCATATAAGCATGCATTCATCGGTTTTCAGTTAGATCCAAGCTTTGTACAAACTAGTGGCTAATATTAGGCTGGCTGCATCCATCATTTATATACAGTCTATGATTACCTCCTATTTCATTGTGATAATCTTGACTGGCAAAAAAACCCCAAGTCATGCTAAGGGTAAAGTGGAGTACTGTGGTCATAGAGCACAAAGTTTATGGTGGATGAGGGGAGCGTCACTGGAGCTGCTGAAAAATTGCTTTCAGGTGGGAGTGCAGCATTTTGACCCTTGTCTAATAATAACAGTGTGTTTATTCTGGCAACCAAGATGACAAGAGTTGTCTGATAGCAGCTCAGCTATTCTCAGAATTACAGAATTACACCTGTCCTATAATTACTAATATATGTAGTAAATGCTGGTCTGAGCTGCACTCAGTGGGTTGGCGTAAACATTAACAATGTCATTTTGCATTGTTAAAAAGTAACAAATGATCAACATCAAGCATATTCAGTTATGTTAATGGTCGGAGGAGAAGAGGGGTAAATGCATGTGGGTGTGTCAGCTCATCCGTTTATAGGCAGATTTAGTCTGGGCATGTCATCACTATCAGGATTACCACATCAATATTGCGTTAACAAACCATTACACTGTTTATTCATTAATTTGCAAGAAGAACATGTTGGCTAAATGAGTTGAAATGAGATAAATGATTACTCAGTGTACCGGTGCCAAAATGAACTATTTTTAAATAGGTGCTTTCGACATGCGCCACATGCTTCGAGGGGCTTGAAATTGATTCTCCTACAGTAAACATCTGCCTGAGTTCTGGCTACACGGACACAAAGTCTTCATGGTGTTGGTTTCCACACAGCTACTCAGCCGTCTGGTGAAAATGAAGAAGCATAGGTGAGCAATTTCACTCCACCCACAGCGTCAGTTATTAGAGTGCTCATAGCTGACCTCCAAAACTCTCAGACGGTCTTCATGTGTCTGTGCACTGTAGTCCACCAGGAGGGCTCTTGCAGCATGTTCAGGTCATGGATGAACAATGAACCACAGATTTGTGAGGCACTTTTGCTGAGTTAGTTTAGCAAAACAATTGCAAAAAAAGTTTTCAATTATCTGAGTGGTGTCTGGAACACCAGGGGGGTTTGTTCTTTTTATTTTTTAAGCTGGACGGTATATAGAGGAACAAGGTTATAGGAGAGCTATATTGGTTGGCTTTTGTAGGTAGTGTATTTAGGCTATTTAGTTGTGTGGCTGGGGGAGGCATTATGTCTGATGTGGTGGTTAGTAATACCAAAGCACCACAGGGGCCAGTCCTGTTTCCATTCCTGTTTACTTTGTACACCTCAGATATCGAGTATATCAGTGATTCATGTCACCTGCAGAGGTACACTGATGACATCGCAGTGGTTGGGTGTGTTAGGGGTGGGCACCAGTTGGAGCACAGGGAGCCGGTGAAGAATTTTGTCAGGCAGAAATCACCTGCTCCTGAATGTCAGACATTCAGAGATGGCGGTTGATTCCCGGAGGGGAAAAAACTACAGGTGAGGAGGTGAGGAGGTTAAATCAGTGTTCATTTGAATGACATACTGAACTGGTGGAGCAACCGTGATGATGTGTACAAGAAGGGGATGAGCAACACACCCTACTTTCCGAGGAAGCTCAGGTCCTTCAGTGTGTGCAGAAAGATGCTTGAGATCTTCCACCTGACTGTGGAGGCGATTTTACTGTTGTCTGCTGGGGGGCAGCATCAGTGGGAGAGAGCCGTGCAGGATCAACAAACTAATTCACAAGCCAGGAGTCATCACTGGACACATTCTGGAGGTGTTTGAGTAAGTGAGGACAAGAGGTCACTGAAAAACTGCTCTCCATCATGGATACCTGTCACATCAGCTCCATTCATCACCACACAAGCAGCGGAGCTCATTCTTCCTCAACATTATTCAGTTATTGATGGCATAAAGAATACTTCAGGAAATCATCCATACTGTTATCAACACTGTGTATTAAAGCTTCTTGCTGTTCTATATCTATCTCTCTATACAAAAGGGCTCTAAAGAACCATTTAAATGAAATGTAGGTTACTATATAAGAAAACCTTTATTGAATCATGTCTAAATAACTGAATAATTTTAGGATTTGTGGGGTTTTCTTAAAATCCTGTTCTACACCATTGCAGATGAAGTTTTTTTTTCATTTTGTTTGCTCTCCTCAAAGCACTGAAATCATCCATCCAAAACATTAAACAGCCAAAACACAGCCCAGAAACAATGCCTCTGCTACTCTGGATTAATCACAGGCATTGTTTTTCACAGTAACATTTTCCTATGAAAGAAAATGTCTGTGATTTTTACACACTGTATGAGCAAAATGAAGGGAATATAAATGTTTGTGAAACATGAGTACCCTGTATCCAGAATCACTCGATTTGAATGTTATGGCTGTTAAATCTCTGATATCAGCTTTATTTACTTGCATTTCTGTGGCTAGTAGACATCATCAGTGATAAACAGGAAACAACCCAGAATAGGTGTGTGAAGCCTCTGGCTACTTTAATAAGTGCATGCAACATCTCAGGTGAACGTTTCAACCTCACTACTAATTATTTTGATTCCTAAACCAAGCAGCAAGGTAAAATGAAATTTAATAGCTACTAAAAACTGAACCAAGGCAAAAAATTAGTATGACTCAAACACTCTGGATAATAATTGATGGTCTTTAAAAGTGAAATCTCTACCTCACCATTAAGTGAGGTAGACTGTAGAATAGAAGGGCCTCCTTCTTGTGG